CGGGGGGGGGTGCCCCCGCCGGGGGGGGATCTCGGCAGAGCTGCTGTCGGCAGGGCCACCGGCCGGGAGGTCTTCGACTGGATCCTGGACCAAGGCTACTACTCGGAGAGGGACACCAGCAACGTCATCAGGCAGGTGCTGGAGGCCGTCGCCTACCTGCACTCGCTCAAGATCGTCCACAGGAACCTCAAGGTGGGTGGTGGTGGGGTGGGAGCACCCATGGGTGCTGGGGTGCCCCCTGCCCCGGTGCTCACATCCCCTGTGCCGGTAGCTGGAGAACCTGGTGTACTATACCCGCCTGAAGAACTCCAAGATCGTCATCAGCGACTTCCACCTGGCCAAGCTGGAGAATGGGCTCATCAAGGAGCCCTGCGGCACCCCCGAGTACCTGGGCGGGTGAGAGCCAGCCGGGCGGGCGTGCAGGGGTGGGCAGCGCTGCCCCGGGGTCCCAGCAGGTCCCTGCTGCCCATCATCACCCTGGGGACCAGTCCTGAGGGCTCCTGGCAGGTCCCTCCTGATGGTCACAGGTGCTCCTAGCAGTCCCCTCCTGCTCCCCATCACCCCGGGGCTGATCCTGGCTGCTCTTGGGGGGTCCCTCCTGCTCCCCATCACCCCAGGGCTGATCCTGGATGGTTCTGGTGTGTCCCTCCTGCTCCCCATCACCCCAGGGCTGATCCTGGATGGTCCTGGTGGGTCCCTCCTGCTCCCCATCATCCCAGGGCTGAACCTGGCTGATGCCAGTGCGTTCCTCCTGGTCCACATCACCCTGGGGCCGATCCTGGGTGCTCCCACTGGGTCCTTCCCACTCCCCATCATCCCAGGTCTGATTCTGGGTGCTCTCAGTGGGTCCCTCCCGCTCCCCATCACCCCAGTGGCGAGGCGATGGGTGTTTGGGGACCTCGGCGCAGGGCTGCTCTCCTGTCCCTCGCAGCTCCGGAGGTGGTGGGGCGGCAGCGGTACGGGCGGCCGGTGGACTGCTGGGCCATCGGCGTCATCATGTACATCCTGTGAGTGCGGGGCGAGGGCCGGGGCGGCTGCGGGGGGCTGGGGGCCATGGATCGGGCTGAGCCCCCCCGCCCCGTCCCC